AAAGAGTCACAACCACAACCATTGGAGTCTGAGGATAGCGGTGCCAGCACATCATCCGCACCGTGACCAGAGGAAAGAGCCAGCACATTATCCACATCTCAACCAGAGGAAAGAGCCAGCACATTATCCACATCTCAACCAGAGGAAAGAGCCAACATATCATCCACATCTCAACCAGGGGAAAGCAGTGCAAGCACATCATCAGGTACTGGAAGAACTGAATCAGACATTGAAGGGAACCTTCCTGACTGCTGGACACTGCAGCAGTACAATAATTTTAGGGAAAAATACGATGGACTGGACATTTCACAGAAAAAAATAGGTTGAAAGTATTGCAGAAGATTTGAAATTTCGACCAAAGAAAAAAATGTCCACAGAGCTAAGGAGTGGAAGAATTACCAAATTAAAACATCAGGAAGGAGTAAAGAAATCCAACAAGCTTCCCTCAGAAAGAAATTGAAGGAACATTTCTCATCTAAGTCTCACAACATCTGTACAGAGAAGTTGAAACAATGTGAGCAGGATGTGATAAGTAAAGGACTGGAGAGGATGACTGAGAAATATCTGGGTAGTACATGTAGAGTGCTTACTACAGTGTATGTCTGGCACAAACGTGCAGACCATTTTCATATGTAGAAGATCTGATTGAATTACAAATAACAAATGGTTTAGATTTGGGACAAGGGTTGCATTCACGTAAAACTGCAGTTGCAATAGTAGATTTCATTGCAACAGACAATTTAAACATTTATTTAGCAAAATTATTGAGAAAACTTGCAAAATCTGTTTGATAATTAACAAAGCCTCAACAATATCTTCCAAAGTACAGTTCTTATACTGTACTTAAAAGTTGAGGATCCAGTTTTCTCACCAACAATTTTCCTTGAACTAGTAGAATTAGATAAACAAGATGCAGAGACAATATGTTGTTCAGTTATAGAAAGTTTGAATAAAGTTGGGTTTAATAGGAACTATCTGGAGAAACATTTAATTGGATTTTGCTCTGATGGAGCCAGTGTTATGCTTGGGAGAAAATCTGGGGTAAGCACTAGGATAGCCAAAGAGTTTCCAAATATTATAATATGGCACTGTTTAAACCATCGACTGCAACTTGTTTTAGATGATTCTATTAGGGAAATAAAGCAAATCAATTATTTTCAAATTTTTATTGATAAAATATATTCTATTTTCCATCAATCGAATAATCTGATTGAACTTAACAAAATTTCCGAACAACTTGAGATTGAAATTATAAAAATTGGTAGAGTTTTTGGACCAAGATGGGCTGCCCGTAGTTTAAGATCAACCCTAGCTGTGTGGCATGCTTATCCAGCACTACATCAATTTTTCTGTTCAATAAAAAATACTCCAGTATGGCTGCCCATCTTGAAAACACGTATTTTCTCACTGATTTGGCCTTGATGGTTGATGTGCTAACTGAATTATCTCTTCTTTCTAATGCATTGCAAGCGAGAAACATAGACATTATAAAGGCTGAAAAACTTGCAGTAAGATCAATTAGATCATTTGAAATGCTTATATAGGAAAAGGGTGCATATGAAAAAAGGCTGATGAATTAATTACTTCAGAACCCTTTAAAAATATAAATTTTATACAAAATCATCGATTTGTGGGACTTCCTTGTGAAAAACTTATAGAAAGCAATGTAATTAATTTGAAGAAAAGATTGATGGATTGTGAACATTTAAAAACAGGCTGCCAATTTAAAGACACTGATCAATTAAAATTTCAAATTATTTGGAGCCACATTATTGGAACATTGAAGAAGTGGTGGTTCCATGGAGAGCAGCTGAAGGACAATTGGTTGCATTTGATCAAATTTTCAATTATGAAATCAATATTAATGATTATCGTGATTTCATAGAAAATGTACTAAAAGATCCGGAAAAATGTACAATTCCTTGCAGCATTAAAAAGGCTAGAGATATTATTAAAACTATTGCAGTCAGTTCAGCAGAGATGGAAAGGGGCTTCTCGCAGATGAACATAATACGTTCAGAGGGCAGAAGACGCCTTATAGTTTCCAATATTACAAACCTCCTGACCATCAGTCTAATTGGCTTACCTCTGCAAGAATGGGACCCTATTCCTATAGTAAATAAGTGGTTACGGGCACATCACACAGCTGATGATGCTTGTATTAAACACAAGAAAACTGTAACTCAGGACTCAGAAAAGCAATTTGTTAGTACTTTAAATAAGTTTTATTGTTTTCTGTAAAGTTTTGTTATGTAATAGTTTTTGTTTAATATTTTAAAATGTTGTAACAATATAGTTTTGTGTACCTTTTTTATTATTTAAGCATTAAAGACATGACATAATGAACTACCTTTTGTTTTGGTATATCTTTTTTAAAATACTTAGTTATTAGGGCAAAAAAGTGATGTTGAGTGGCCTCGCCCAGCCCTCTGCAGCCTTCCCCATAGCTCCTCGTACCTGCCTGGGCCTCGCCTTGCCCTCCCTGTAGCTCCTCATAGCTGCCCATGCCTTGCCTTGCCCTCCCCGTAGCTCCTCGTAGTTGCCTGGGCCTCGCCCAGCCCTCCTCGTAGCTGCCCGCGCCTCACACAGCCCTCCTCGTAGCTGCCCGTGCCTCGCCTTGCCCTCCCTATAGCTCTTCATAGCTGCCTGGGCTTCGCCTTGTCCTCTCCATAGCTCCTCATAGCTGCCTGGGCCTCGCCTTGTCCTCCTCGTATCTGCCCGGGCCTCACCTTGCCCTCTTCAGGGCTCCCAGCACTTGGAAACTGGCAAAAAACAGAAAACCTCAGTCACAAGACTGTGTGGGATGTTGTAACTGGTCATAAGTGTGTGTGCGTGAGTGTCTGTGTATGCATCACTGTCAAAACACCCAAAACAGGTCAACTAGCTCTGTGGACGTCAGTCGAAAATTAGAACACTTGCTAAGCAACTGGCCATTAAGCGAGGACCACTTATATTTGGTTTGCCAGTCACATGGCCACATCCACCCCAGTCACATGATCACCTAGCCACGCCCACCCATCACATGACCACCTAGCCATGCCCAGTCAACAAGCCACGGCCACCCAGTCACATGGCAACTAAGCCACACCCACAAATTAGGCCACGCCCACAGAACCTAAATTGAAATTATGTTAGCATATATTTTAGCATTCTAAAAATAGCAGCCATGTTGGGAAAATAACAAGGGATAGGAAGGAGTCAAACAATCCAAGGATGTCTGAGCTTAGTTGATTCATGAAAAGCTGACTAATGTCTGGAATAGAGCTTTTAAACAACAGGACTAAATAACAGGACTCTGAATTGCCTGCAATATTTTGGATTCTGTTTTTAGAATACTTTATTTGGTTTATATTTTAATATTAAGAAATACAGGTAATATTTGTGCTTTGTGCAAAGTTATAGATTGTTTTAATGGCCTAAGTGACTCTGTTTCATACATAATGTTTAAGCATAGACTACAGAATTTAGATTCATACTTTATGCTAAGCCAAAATGAAACAATGCCGTTTGTGAACATACTATAAATATCATACATTGTAGCTTTTCTTTTTAAAAGCATCCAACAGGATGTGCTCAGAAAACTAAAATGTTATATGTTGGAAATGCTATATGTCTATTTTGTCAATCAAATGCACATTGGCTTCTAAACTATAAAATATTACATTTATATTTTATTGCAGTTTCATAATATGTATAACCCAGAACATATTAGGAAGCAAGGCATTGTTTTTACTTGTTTTACTTCATTTTTAAAAAAAAAACATAATTTATGGATTAACATTTTTAATCCAAAATGCTCCTAATAGGTTACCTTTAACTTCACAAAATCAAAATGTGACAAGATTTTGGTGATCGCACCACATTTTTAAAACCCAAATCATGAGATTTTTTAAAAAGTTACTTTAATTTTCATTTTGGAAGATAAATCTATAGATTTATGACCACAAAGTAGTCTACTCTTATATAAATTTAGAAAAGGTATCAAATTGGATACAACATCTTTAAAATACAGGAATTTGTAAAAAGAAAAGGGACAGTTACACATGTATAACTGTCTATACTTAACATGTATAAGTATGTATAACATTCATAAATAAAGGCACTTGCTACCAGTTTCTTAGGAAAAGCTCCACTGGATTCAAAAATCTAAAAACTCAAAAAAACCTTAAAGTCCAGGATTAAGCCAGCTTTTTTCATATTTTTATCATAAATTATAAAAGCAAAAAAATATATAGGTAACTGGATGGGGGGAGAATATACACTAAACTTTTATACAAAGATTTCACAAGGCTGAGGTCACTATCCTCCTATTTTCAACTTTCCTGAATCTAAATGGCTTTTTTTGAGTTCAATTCAGACTTCTTACCACAACTGAAGATATCTGAATACTGTTATTATGAAGAGCAGACTTACAATCATTAGGACACAAATTCTCATATATGATCATTTGGGTAATATTATAAACATTTAGAAATGTTAATTCCATAAAGTCCTCAGTGCTATGGTGGCAACATTCTTCTTATTTGGACTGAAGAAATCAAGTAGTCCTCAATGAATGATCACCACTAGGACCAAAGCTTCTACCGCTAAGAGACATAGTCATCAAATGAATTGAGCTCAATCTTACAATTTTTTTTGCCATAGTCATAAATTGTATCACTAATTAAATGAATCACATGGTCATTAAGCTTCCCTCATCAACCATGCTCAATCAGAAGTTCCCTGGGAAGGTCACAAAAGGGGAGCCAAAATGTTGCAACTATCATGAAAACACATGCCAGTTGACAAGCTGGATATTTTGATCATGTGTGACAGTCATAAGTGTGAGGATCCATCATAAACCACTTTTTTCAGCACTGTTGTAACGTTAAACAATCATTCAACAAAAGGTCTTAAAAACTACCTATACATACAATAACCTTTAAGCTGATAGAAATTAATATGTGACAAAAACTATTCAAATATGTTTATTATTACTCAACCATTGAATAAATCTTTACCTGAGATGAAAGCAGATTGCAATCCAAGTGCATTCCTTTCCCTGTTTTATGTCGTTGAAGAAGTGCAGCCATAATTGCTCCATATGCATATAATCCTGTAGCAAGGTCAGTCATAGCTACTCCTGGCCTAACTGGCTCACCGCCCTAGAAAGAAAATATCAGGATGACAAAACTGATGTATCATATACCTGTCATTCCCAAAATGTTTTCTTCTTTAAGCTATAAATCAGACAATACTACTTAAATGATGCAACTGTAAAACTTCTTTAGAAGAGAGCTTCACATTCCATGATATGAGCAATTATATACATTTGCTAAATTAATTAATTAATTAAGCTAGCTGTTTAACCATTTCAGTAACTTAAAATAGTTGAAAAAGTCTGAAGCTATCTGAATAAACTACTGTATTATGAAGGGTAATTCTCAGTATGCATACACCAGCTGTTGAGATGGTATCTTTGTTTAGATAAACAATATCTGTTTAGGAAGAGAAATGCATGCATTATCTGATTCACATTTCAAGATTCCAGAAGCAACCATCAAAGTTATATAATATTCCTTCTCTGGCTGGATATTTGCAGGAAAAAAAATCATCTATATTTTTAGTCATTTTAGAATACAAATGAAAAGGATCAAGAAATATTAAACATGCATTCACTTCTGTTGCATTTGAAAAAGAATGTCTATTTCTGTACTCCAGAATTGTTTGTCTTCTGGGAACGGGGGAAGATACCTCTGCAAAAAATATTTTAAGATCAAAAGCCATAGTGGTGCAGTAAGAATGCAGTATTGCAGGCTAATTCTGCTGACTGATGATTGCCAGCAATTGGCAGTTCAAGGTTGACTCAACCTTCCATCCTTCCAAGGTTGGTAAAATGTGGACCCAAATTGTTGGGTGCAATATGTTGACTCTGTAAACTGTTTAGAGAGGGCTGTAAAGCACTATGAAGCGGTATATAAGTCTAAGTGCTACTGCTATTTATCAAATCTGTTACACTATGGATGTATAATTTCTTAATGTTAGTCATCCCAGAATATCTCAATTAATTGCAGAGGATAAACTGGACTAGAGGTGATATCACATTTTTGACTCATTGCTATTTGGGACTCTATGGTATTTTTTTCATTGGAAAGTATTGTAAAGTATAGATATCAGCACAGAAAACCATATTGTCTGGTTTCCCCATCCTTCATCAATCAGTCTGAGCATTCAACATGATGCTAAATCAGTTCATATGAAAAAATAAGAACCTGTTGTATGTGCCTCTTGACGTGTTGGACCAGAAATAAATATAAGGGGTCCATGGCTGATATCAACACTAAAATCTATCCAAAGATGCCAAGTGCTGTCATCAATCTCCAATCACAAGTATTATGCAAGGTTCAGCACAATTGCAAAAGTTTAGGGCTTTCTTGTCATATTCTCAAACTTCATTAAATTAATCAGTGATGTGCTTGGGAATATATTGATTTGAATAATAATGCTCTGCTTAAATTATCTGCAATTCATATTTCAGTAGGCTAGAAATAACATTCAAATCACATAGAATACTTTCTTCAATGGGATACTTGTAGGAAAAACCTCTTAAATCATAACTTGCTTATATGGGATAGCATATACCATCAAATAGAGTTTATAAACCCTATTTCTATAATGAGAAGATGTAAGATAGCAGAACAATGCAAAAAGAAAACCCAATAAGAAGGTATTGAATATATCTGCATGGTTTCAATCCTAAGAGTCAGTCCTACTGAAAATATGGATTACTTCTAAGCCAACAAATTGTTTCAAGATTCATTAGACATAAGAAGCATGAGATTAAACCAAATACATTGCAGAAAAGGCTGCCTGTATTTAATGTCATCATCTGACACCCAATTCATTATCTAGCATGTCAGTTCAGAAGCCAATTTCTTATTAATTTCAGCCCTGTCTGCTAATGAAACAGTCACTTAGGTTGATTGAAAATTGCTTCCAGCATTCAGGCACATTTGGGATACATTCCTGACTTATTCTAAAGGACCAAATGTCAGACAAAAAATCTGCTTCAGTTATAGTGGCTATAATAATTAAGCAAAATTAATAAGCCATTAAAATGATACTATATAAATATCTGAAACCACATAAATTAATACTGAATTAATGACTGAATTATAATAATCTTATGTAATAGAATTATACTTCTGTAACTTTAAGAAATTTAAAAATTGGAGTGGGGGAGTAGAACAGATTTAGATACTGTTAGTAATTTTGCCTTGGATTTATTCTGTATATGTGCCACCATTTTTCTTACTCAGGCAATATAGGTCCTACTGCTTTGGCTTTAATCTTTATTCAAATGTGTATCAAAGCTTTGCAAGCAAACAAATAACTAAATGAAATGACATGTGCAATATATACACATACATATCCATCACATCATTCCTTTAACAGTAAGCAATATTATGCAAAGCACAGAAATGGAGTAAAAGTCAACCGAAGAAATTAAAGGCATCAGATAATAAAAGGAAGCATATCTAAAACTACTTTTCACCTATACCAGTGATGGGTAACCTTTTTGGGCTCCTGTGCTTGCACACATGCACTCACATGCCAGCACCCAAAAGGCAATGTGCATGGGGCCCCCCACGCCCCCTGCACATGCGTGTGTAATCCCCCCAGCCGCCCCCTTACGTGCACTGCGCATGCGTGGGCCTCCCAACTGATTTTTCAGCCCATTTGAGGCCTTTTTCGGCCTCCCAGAGGCTCGAGGGAAGCCTCTGCAGCCTTTGGAAGCTGAAAAATGGGCCTGTTTTGTCACTTCCAGTATTTCCGGAAATACCAGAAATGACGAAATGGGCCTGTTTTTCAGCCTCCAAAGCCTGCAGAGGCTTCCCTCAAGCCTCTGGGAGGCACATGCGCTGTGAAGTAAGTTTGGCTGAGGCTCACGTGCCCACACAAATGGCTCTGCATGCCACCTGTGGCATGTGTGCCATAGGTTCACCATCATGGACCTATACCATTAACTAAAATTTCTGTCATTGGAAATAGCTTCCATATACACATCCATATACTGTTTCATTTTTTTTTCTTTTGTAAACTTCTCACTTTTATTTCCAACGATCCTTTAACTCCATCCAATCACAACATTCTTCATTTTCCCCTTCCTTCCAATACATTAACTGTAAATTGATATATTTCTATATGAGAATATTCATTATTCAAGTATTATTCACTATTTCTCTCAAACTTTCCTTATAAACAATCAAAATTATAATTCTTCTACCAAGTGTAAAGAAGAATAAACTTATCCTTTAATTGTGTATGTGAAACAAATTTATTTCTAAATACCAGTCATGTTCTCATTTATTCTTGAAAGTCTGAATGATTCAGTTACTTGTTTGGTAATATCATCTCATTCCCACTCATCCATTCATGTCATCAGCTGACTAGAGGTAGTTCTATGTTAATTATTGCCTTGTTCAGCTTCTATTGAAATTTACAATGTTCCTGAAAAAGTAGATTTACAATTAGTATTCAAACTTCTGGCCATTGCAATGGGGACCTTGCCCCCGTAGTCACATGATCACAAATAACAGATAATCAATTGGAAGGGACCTTGAAAGTCATCTAGTCCAACCCCCTGCCCAAGCGGGAGACCCTACACCATTTCTGATAAATGACAGTCCAATCTCTTCTTGAAAGTCTCAAGTGATGACGCTCCCACAACTTCCGAGGGCAAGCTTTTCTATTAGTTTATTGTTCTCACAATTTGGGCCCTTGACAATCAATATGCATTTACAATGGTCACAGGATCCCATGTTACATGATAATTATTTGTCACCTTCACAGTTGGCTTCCAACAAAGGAAGTCAATGGAAAGCTGACACAAACTCACAAATTGTGTTATATGATGTCATGCTTAAGAATTGCAGGTGATTCATTGTATGTCAGGCATATTCACATGTTTTTCCCTAACAAAGGTTGCCAGTGCAAATTTCAATCATTACATGAGCAGTAACTACAGGTGAAACTCAAAAAATTAGAATATCGTGCAAAAGTTCATTTATTTCAGTAATGCAACTTAAAAGATGAAACCAATATATGAGATAGACTCATTACAATGCAAAGCAAGATAAAATTGGAGAAAAAGTATTTTGAAGACCTTAACAAAATAATACTAAAATACATTTGGCAAGGGAAAAAAGCAAGAATCAACTTAAAAATGTTACAGGATGCTAGAACGAGAGGAGGGTTTGGATTACCTAACTGGGAATTATATTATAGGCTTAACATGGATGAAAGAATGGATTGTACCGAGGAATACAAGGTTATTGACTCTGGAGGAGCATGATTTACAATTGGGTTGGCATGCCTTTTTATGGTATGGGAAAAATAAGATACATGATTACTTTCAAAGGCAGTAAATAAGAAATGCATTATTATTAGCATGGGAGAAAATTAGAGAACAAACTACTTAAAGATACCAGTCTGGCTTTTGACAATGGAAGCACTTATTCATCAAAATATTATCAATATGGGAAATATTCTTAGATATAAAGATATTTTGAATGAAAAGGGTGAGCTCAAAACTAAACAAGAATTAAAAGAGAAAGGGGTTGATATGGTTTGGTATTCATGTATGCAAATACAATCTAGGTATGAAAAAGATGCTAAACTAGATGGTTTTTATAAAGAGTTGACAGAACTGGATAAGGTATTAACAGGAACAGAAGAAAAACCTATTTAAAAAATTGTATAGTTATCTATTGGGAATTAAAATGGAAGAACAGGTGAAAGAGACAATGATAGCATGGGCAAAATTTTTTTGATTATGCCATAGAATTAGACAAATGGCAGAAACTGTGGGAGAGAAATTATAAATTAACAATGTCAACTGCTTATAAAGAAAATCTATATAAGATGTTCTATAGATGGCACTTCACACCAGCAAGACTGGCAAAGATGTTTAAAGATAAATCAGCTAAATGTTGGAAATATCATCAGGCAGGAGGTTTCATGCTGGTCAGCCCTGCAAATTCTCAAGCCTCTAGGTTCACCTAACTATTGTGGAGGTCGTTTAATGAACTGAAGCAAGCAGCAAACATGATCTTCATTGATTTAATGACCTGATTTATTCACTTAATAAAATGTGATTTAAAATATCATAAAAATGAGTCCATGTGATGACAGTTTTGACATACAACCCTAATGGGCATACTGCATTAGGGCTGTACCTTAAGGACTATACCTGTATTTAAAAATGTACTATTTTTACTGTCTCATGTTCTTATTTGCTGATAACTTTATTTTTCTTCTGTTAGAAATAGGTAGTGAATATACTGTATGCTGTCATAAATTAATTCAAACTGGCTAACAAATATAGTTTGCTCTATATGTGGAGAAAATTCAGGAATCAAATGATTATACGAACAAGTTGGCAATAATTCGTATGGCTAACAAAGCATTTTTTCTTAGTAGCAAAATCTTACAGATTGTTGATAATCTGAAAGCAATTCAATAATGACAACTTCTCATGTAATTGAAACTAGCTAATATATAAGCTTGTACTTATATATTTCTGCTGATTTTTATTTCCTAACTTTATTAATTCTGCTCATTATTACATGCCTTATCATATGTGCCAGTGAAGTTTTCAGTTTTAACAGCAGGATTTTATTTTACTTACAGAAACATACCTCAGGCCCTGTGACATGCAAGAGTCCAGAAACAGCAGCTGCAACTGAGTCATAACCTGCTTGTTGAAATTTTGGACCAGTCTGACCATAGCCTTAAAAAATACAAAACAAAAAACAAAAATGAGAAAACGTAAACATACTAGCAGCTAACTCTGTTGCAACTAAATAGAAGCATTGTTCTAACTCACTTACAAACTGCAGGTGATTTATGTGATTTATATGACTCTTCTGGTGAGCCAACAACTTGGGGAGCATCATTGGAAAAATAGTCCTTTTGGAATTTACTTCTCAAACATACAATAAGTTGTGCCTTTCATTTCTTAATCAATTTATGAGACTATTATCTTTATTAGCCTTCTTTAATCATAACCGGTTTCTCTTTTTTGAAGCTCTGTGCCATTTTTGAGATTTCTTTATTGTTAAAGGAAACAATAATTTTTTTCTTAATTTTGTTGGAGAAGTGTAAAGATAAAATATAGCAATTTGATTTTATTATCTTCATAATGTGTAGCTCTGGGTTGCTTTGTTGTGGATGGTTGAAATCCCTGATTTTTATGAACTCTGGCAAGAAAAATAATAATTAAATAAAATATATATTTGACCACTAGAGAGAGCTATGAAGATGCTTAAACCTGAGCTTAAGTTTATTATTAGGAAAGCCTTTGAAAAGTCTCTACAGAAAATAACTGATTTTGTAAATCAAATTTTACTAAACATATAGATGATATAAAAAAGCAAGAGGTGCAATTAGACAAAAGACAAAAAGGGCAAGTATAAAAAGTGGAAAAAGGGGCACATAACTAAGGTAGAATATCAGCAAATAGCTCGAGCCTGCAAAGATGGAGTGAGGAAAGCTAAAGCTCAAAATGAACCAAGTTTTGTGACAAAAGTAAAATATCACCCCCAAAAAAGCTTTTTTCAACATTTTAAAAACAAGAAAAAAGTCAGGAAACAATTGGTCCATTAGTGGGAGAACAAAAAAGTGACAAACAATAGGGAGTAAGCAGATCTGCTAACTTGTTTTTTGCACCCATCCGTAAATAAAAGGGAAAAAAAACAGTCAAACCTATCAAAAATAGTACCATAAAAAACAGATTAGGAATACAAGTTAAAATAGGAAAGAAAATGGTAAGTGGGCACCTGCCCATCATAGACAAGTTCAAATCACAAAGACCAAATGGATTACAACCTAAGGTTCTGCCACAACTGGCAGGTGTGATTTCAAAATCATTGAACTATATCTTTCAAAGATCCTGGAGCACCGGAACATTACTAGAGGACTGGAAAAGAGCTGATAGTTCCCATCTTCAAAAAAAAAAAAAAAAAGCAAAAAACAATACGTCCAGGAAACTACAGACTATCAGCCTGACCTGAATACCTGGGAAAATTCTGGAAAAGATTATCAAACAACAAATTAACGAACACATAGAGGTAACCTGCAAATTAGCAAACACATAGAGGTAATCCAAAAGCACACATGGGTTTGTCAAAAAAGATCATGCCAGACAAATCTTATTGCATTCTTTGATAAAGTGTCAAAATTAGTGGAGCAGAGGAATGCTGTGGATATAATTTACTTGGTCTTCAGTAAGGCATTTGATAAAGTGGACCACAACCTACTACTTGATGAGATAGAAAAATGTTGGTTAGACAGCATCAACACCAGATGGTTTCATAACTGGCTGACCAACTGCACTCAGTGTATAGTCCTCAATGGAACTGCATCTACATGGAGGGAGATATGCGGTGGGGTACCCCAAAGCTCTGCTTTAGGCCCAGTACTCTTTGACATCTTTATCAATGATTGAGACAAGCAGATAGATGGGAAACTCATCAAATTTGCAGGCAACACCTGGCAGAAATAGCAGCTAACAGACAGGAATAGCAGTTAACAGACTGCTATTTATTTGCAGGAATAGCAGAAGTGCTATTCCTGCAAAGAACTGCTAATTGCAGGAATAGCAGTTAATAGACTTGAACATTGGGCGCTATCTAACAAAATGAAATTCAATGGTGAAAAAAGTAAGGTTCTACATTTAGGCAAGAAAAACCAAACACACAGATACAATATAGGTGGTACTTCGCTCAATAGTAAGTAGTAACTGCAATCGGCATCTTGAAGTGGACAATCATTTAAATATGAGCAGCATTATGCAGCAGCTGCTAAAAAACCCAACACAGTTTTAGGCTGTATTAACAGAGGGATAAAATCAAGATCATGTGAAGTATTAAATACTGCTTTAAGGCCAAACTTAGAATACTGCATCCAGTTTTGGTCACCACAATGTAAAGATATTGAGACTCTAGAAAGAGTGCAGAACAGAGAAACAAAGTCTGGACGCTAAAACATATAAAGAATGGTTGCTGGAATAGGGTATGTCTAGTTTAATGAAAAGAAGGACTAGGAGTAACATGATAGCAGTGTTCCAATATCTCAGGGGCTGCCACAAAGAAGAGGGAGTCAAGCTATTCTCCAAAACACCTGAGGGTAGGACAAGAAGCAATGGATGGAAATTAATCAAGAAGAGAAGCAATCTAGACCTAAAGAAAATTCCTGACAATTAGAACAATTAATCAGTGGAACAACTTACCTCCAAAAGTTGTGAATGCCCCACTGGAAGTTTTTAGGAAGAGATTGGGCAACCATTTGTCTGAAATGGTATAGGGTTTCCTGCCTAAGCAAGGGGATGGACAAGAAGACCTCCAATGTCCCTTACAACTTTGTTATTCTAATTAGTTATTCTAATTATGTATAGAAAATTATGAACCCACAAAGACAACTTTACAAATATTTCACAAACAACTCAGTGCAATACAAAACTGACACCAACTTGTATTATGATGATAGTTTGAACAGAACCCTCTTACTACAACTGAAACAAGAATTGCAAATAAATTCACAACTCTTAAAGATGTCAAGTTTGGGACTTTTTCTTCATGATACTAACAACATTGAAAATTCTTTGAGAAAAAGAAATCTGATTGACATCTCAGAAAAGAAGGTTTTATTCTATATGGAAGAACTCCAAGTTAATCTATAATGTTTAATAAAACAACTTTGGTAAATGTTTGTTTTCTATTTTTTTATATAATGATTTGTTTAAAAAAATAAATTTATTTTTACAAACATTCCATCTTTCATTTAAACAGTGTGTCATCTGGATACAAATATCTTGTGCAATATCATGCCCCTGATAAGAGACTGACTCTGAGGGAGGGGAGGAACAGCCCACAGGGAATGGAAGGAGGCTGGGGAGGGGCAGAGTCCAGCTGAGCAGTCAGAGAAGGACCCAGGCCCATCCCCTATTCATCCTAGGGCACGCCGGGAGAAGAGGATAAGGGAGAGACATGATCTACTCGGGAGGAGAGGGCCTTGATCCTCTTCATGGGCTGCAGGTATGAGAACTGCATAAGAGTTTGGACCTGCATTCTAGAAAACACTGGAGACAAAGCGTGTTTTATTTTGGTTTGAGGTTATCTTGGTTGGCATCCTTCCAACAGACTGTGCCTTGTTATCTCCTTGAATTTGGTAAATACTTCTCCTATTCCGTTGTGGAAATTTCATCATTGTAGTTTGTTTGGTTTTTATTTTCACCTCTATCTGCTCATTAAATTCGGACTGTACTGCTTTCTTTTGAAGACTATTTTTGAGTACGTTTTATCTCCAACTGAGAATTATTGAACAGTGGGGTCAAGTTGGAGACATTAAAGGACATTTATTCACATTTTAGATTTTGTTATGTTTATGTTACACTCTGGGTCATCACATGCAATAACATTTATAATTAATACAAATTCCTTACCGTTAACAACAATAATTACATTCTTATTTTAAACTACGATACATGATATATCTTATCATTGTAACCATCCCCTTCCTTCCCCTCTATATTCATTATATATGTCTGTGTGTGTGTGTGTGTGTGTGTGTGTGTGTGTGTATGTGTGTATGTATGTATGTATGTATGTATGTATGTATATATATATATAAATTCTATATTCATATATTTAATTTCTAACTCCCCTTTTTCTTTTCCAATCATTCATAAAATAACTCCTATATCATATAATATTCAGTTTGTGCTTTTTCTTTAATTCCCAGTGTGAATCTGTTCATTTCTGCACATTCTAATATTTTCCTGATCACATTCACTTCTGTCGGAATCTTTTCACTTTTTCAGGTTTGAGCAAATACTATTCTAGTTGCAGTTAATACATGAATAATTAAATATGTCTTTTCTTTGCTATAGCTTTCTTTATATAATGATTAATTCCCAAAGTTTGTAAAATATTATTGAAAACCAATTTGAAAATATGAATGATTATTACTTTTAAAGAGAAGAAAAATATTTTATTCTACGAGTATAAATTGAGGGAGAGATTTACATTTAATGAACTAATTGTAGTTAGCTGGATTTTTAATTGTGTGATATATATAATTGAAAGAAAGCTTTAATATAGTTTTGTGTTTTAGGTTTTGGGTTTGCAAAGTGGGTTGGAAAACAGTTTTTTCTTTTATACATAATGCTTGAGTATTTTTTAAAATTTGTATAGTATTATTGAAAGTGAATTTTAAAGTATGTATAAGAGTAAGTAAAAAAAACAAAGTATTAGAACTTATTGATTTTAGAAATGTTTTTAAAGAAAATTTAGAAAAAGTTTTTTTTTCTTTTTAGGGTTAAAAAAATAGCAAATATAGTGAACTTTACTAATATAAATTATGATAATTATAAAAATCAGTGAATAAATAGGAATATATATTTCCCACCGCAAGGAAAAGTAGAGATTGTTAAATCAATTCTTTTATCCAAATATAATATAATATAATAATATATGAGAGGGAACCCATGGCGGCGCCCAACTAGGAAGGTGAGGCTCTCTCTCCTGGAGCACTATCACCCTTTAAAGCCACCGCCTGCACCAGAAATCACCTTCAAAGCTACCACCTGAGCCAGAAACCGTGAGTAAACTGGAGCCCACCCCAAAAAATAAAAATAAAAAACGCTGGATTCCGAAGCCCTGGAGCCCTTATCAAGCCAGCGGAGCTCCTGCTAGCAGGAGCGCTGAATTCCAAAAACATAACAACACTGAA